CCAAAGGTATTAGAGATTTCTTAAGATATAGAACAAAAGAGATGTATTAGGAGGCATTGGCTCAGGCAATTTGTATGCTATAAAGTCCCACAGTCAACAGCCTGTAAACTAGAAACCTGTGAAGCTGGTGATAAAATAGAAATTGAGCCCAAATGCTGGGAACCTGAGAAACCAATGATATAGATTCCATTGTGAGTGAAAAGCCTGAGAAGCCGGGTGCCTGAGAGCAAGAGATCAATGTTGTACCCAACTATATGTCAGGAAGAAGTTTATTCCTCCTTCTGTCCACTTTTGTTCCATTCAGACCCTCAAAAGAGTAGATGTAGCCTACCCACATCCACATCAAGTAGGGTAATCTATTCATTTCATAGATTCAAATGGTAGTTCTTATCCAGAAACACTTTATAGACATGCTCAGAAATAAAATTTAGTCCAAGTATCCTGTGATTGGTGAGGTCCACGTGAAAAATCAACCATCCCAGCTCCACCCCTTAGCAAGGTGGCATCCATTTGCTTCTTCTTAAACTATACTTTAGCTTACAATAAAGACAAACAAGATTATATAATACTACTTAATATAATGAAATTATCCTGAGCAAAATTGAAAACCAGTCCCTTCCCCAGAAAAGGAATTAAAGGTCCTGAATGATTTATGTTCTTTTCCTTGCTATCCCATAACTTCAATACTATGAATACTATGATGTAAACTTAAAAGTAATTGAATGCTATGATCTAAAATCAATACATCTTATGTTACATAACAAGAGATTAAGAAGGAAAACAGACACATCATACACAGGAAAATATGGAGGAAATAATTATGGTATTTCCAGTTTTTATTTCTGTAACTCATCGTGTGGCTGTACCGGTGTGTGTCACTCCCTTCTCCTACTACCCTTTCTGTATTCATTTGCCGTCAGCATGCTCCTTGGCTGCTGTTGGTTCTCTACCTGGTGGAGGGTCTGGGCCATTCTCAGTCCTGCCTGGATTGAATTGTTGTAGTTTTCCATTCTCTCTGATCTCAGAACATGGTGATGCTGAGAGATGCCCTATGAGATTTCCTGTATTCCAGCATATTCTTCTTCATCTTCATTTTGTGGAGTACTAGTCCAATGTTACCTACGTTGTGAGGATTGGTCACCCTAGACTGTGCTGTAAATGGCTTCTTTGCTTGTTGATTCCAAGGCATGAGGATCCTAAAGAGGCTCAAAGTCTTAACTGCCAGTTCAGCAAAGTTAATGTTGTGCTCTTAGCTGGAAGTACTTTTTCCTCTCAAACTAAGAACTCAAAAAAAACTTCATGTCAACAGGAAGCAAATTTTTGCTCAATAGCTAGTAGGGTTTACTGGGGTCCCCAAACTTTTTAAACAGGGGTCCAGTTCACTATCCCTCAAACCGTTGGAGGGCCGGGCTGCGGGCCCTGAGACGAGTCGGCTGCTAAGTGGGACATTCAGCAGCAGCAAAAATACATGCAGGATAAGTGTTCTTGTCTGCATGTGGCCCGTGGGTCGTAGTTTGAGGATGCCTTATGGTAAATGGTGCCACTCCCCTTACAGCCTTTAATTCCTAAACTCACCTTTCCTGACTATAGGGAAACAATACCACATTTTAGATACTGACTCAAAGTTTATACAGTCTTTGGAGAGAGGTTTGTCACAGACGTGCCCTATTGGTATGTGGGTGGCTCTGTAATGAGTCCTCAAAAGGCCATTTCACCATCCATTCTATCAAGCCAGGTGCTTCAGGACAGCTGCGAACCTGTTGGGACCTGTTCATTTTACAAGCATGAGCTCATTGCTGTGCTTTATTAGCTGAGAGAGTGACAGAAATAATCATGATCTTTGTATGTGTAAATTTAATCTTCTTTATATAGTTCTTCATCTGATAAAACCTAAAACGCAAATGTAGCTTGAGAACTTCCAGTTGACTTTGGTCACATATTTTTATTTTATTTTATTTTATTTTATTTATTATTTTTTTTATTAGATCATAGTTGTGTACATTAATTCTCTCATAGGATACAGTGTGTTACTTCTATATGCAGTTTGGAAAACTCTCATCCAGATGGCCAACATAGCCATCATGTCTTTCTCATAATTGTTATGCTAAGACATTTATATTCAATCTTTAGACAAATTCACCTGTACCCAA